GCGCCAGGGCCCGGTCGCAATTATGACCGCTGCGACCCTGGTAGTTCTGCCAGTGCTTACAATCAAACTAAAAATGTTTAAAACTATGGCCGCCGACAGCGTTTATAGCGATGGATGTCGTCATTAGTTGCTAAGACTTGGTCAGGTGCCTTTCTAGTGCAGGTAGGACCAGGGGCCTCAGAATGTACAGGCAAGGTGCAGTGGCAGAAGTCCTGCAAGCCATCTTGTCTTCTTGGACTGAGGAAGCAGGTGGTGGTGGTGGGAGAGGTGTGCGGATGTTCGTCAGTGAGGAGAGGGATTAGCCAGGAGGCGTCATCCCTCTTGGGGCTTGTTCACACCAATGGAGTGCGTTAATCACACAGTTCCATGTTTTTTAACACATGCTACCATGCGTTACAGTGCATCAGGTGCATTGTGTTGCCATTCATTTAAATGGCACTGCAAATGCACCTCCCGCCCGCAATGAGCTCAGCCAACCATGCCGCAATGTGCAATACAGTGCAGTGAGGTTGAGAAAAAGTAGTGCATGCGTGTGGCGCGCTTGAAACACAAGGTCAAAAACTGTGTGAAGCGTCCAGCTCAAAATGCTGAATGACCTTCTTTGCTGTGTTTGCCACGCTGCAAATAAGGCAAAATGCATAAAAAGGTGATGTGAAAGTGTGAACGGGGCCTTGGAATGGGGTGCCACTAGATTTTTTTTTAAAGTGTGCCACAAGTCAAAGTTTGAGAAACACTGGTCTATGGTACATGTAAGGTGCACAGGAGGCACAATTAGGAGAGTCGGCAGCTTGCGTAGGAGAGGGGGAGCTGCAGCTGTGCGGGCTCTGTGTGCATTCTCTCTCATGCTCTCAAATGTTTGAGCTATCACTCAGAATTGCTGTCTCCTTATTTCAGTGTGGTTAAATGCAAGTGGAGGGAGGAGGAGCCAGCCATCTGACAATGCTGTTCAGGAATCGTAGCACAGATGTAAATGGGGAGAAGTGTGATGTGCACTGGGCACCCCGGGGGATTTAGCAGACACTTCTTCTTTAACGCCTGTCTGTCACATATATGCTCATGTTTTGGATTTTGCAGTTTGACTAAGATGTTGAAAAGTGAGTAGTGAGCACTTGACTTTCCCAATAAAAGCAACATTGTACTGAATAAACACTAAGGAAGCTAATGCAGAGATTACACAGAAAGCACTGTGGTATTTGAACTTTCCCTATTGACTTGATATGTTGCCATAACCCTAACAAGTACTCAGTTCTTCTCAATATTGGACACAGGGGTGTGGAAATTAAAAAAAACTACTTGTCCATGGGCTAAAGCGGGGGCCAAATATACGTGTCCTTCATGACAATCTACTTGCCCCAATACAAAAAAAAATATTTTTAATTAAAACTAAGGATGCATCAATACCGGTTTTTCGGTATCAAGTTCGAGTACCGTTTTTTTGCTTTCGGATCTCACCGACACTGAATACTAATACCGGTGCTTCCGCTGGCATGTAGCAGGCTTCCCTGGTAATCAGAAAGCCGGGCAGCGGGGTAATGACATCCCGCCCTGGTTCCTGATTGCTAAGGAAGCTGGCTCCATGTTGTTTGGCCTGCTTAATTGTGATTGGCCGGGAAATCTGCTTCCCGGTCAATCAGGAAGCCGGGTGGCGAGTAATGACCTGATTGACCCGGAAACTGATTCGATGCTGATTGGCCAGGCAGCCGGCTTTCCAGCCAATCAGCAAGGAGCCGGCTTCCCGGCCCATCAGAAAACCAGGAGGCGGGTCATTACTTGCCGCACAGCTTCCTGATTGCACGGGATGCTGGCTTTATGTTCCCCTACGGCACTGCCTGTCAGAGGAAATTTCCATCTGGCCGTAAGTTCCAATATCGGTGAAGGTATCGGAGCATTTGGGTGAGTATGAGTACTCGCCCAAATACTCTATCACACTGATACTAGTATCGGTGCACCCCTAATCAAAACATATGACTGTGCTAAATAGCCCTTCTCACTGGTCAGTGAAGTCATCTGACCACATTGACCAATGAGTGCTTGCAATTTGCGTGCGAAATTCAAAATGCATAGGGGAGGACTGCGCTGGACATCAGTACGGGGGACAGATAGTACACCCATACTGGCGGAGGGGAGGGATTGTTCGCCGAAAGGTAAGTATAGCCAGGGGGGTGGCAGTTTGGGAGAGACGGAGCCAGATTTCATCTGGTAATTTTTATTTTTCAATATTACCTGGAAAAATGAACTTGCCCTTTAATGCACATTGTGTGTGTGTAAGAGAATTCTGGCTACCACCATGGAGTGGCGGCTGCAATCTCAAAGCACATGCAGAATGTCCTATGCATGCGTTTATTTGCATGCAGATGGGGGCAGCAGGGTTTCATTTTTTTTAAAAAATCTTTATATATTATTTTTTAAATTTTCTTTTTATTTATTTACTTTTTCCACTTAATGTTCTTCCTATCACATAGGGGATTAAAATCCCTTATGTGATAGTTTGGAGGTGACAAGTTCTCTTTGTGGAACCTGCCCTCCAACACAGAACAGCTGTTCTGTGTAGTTCCTGACAGCCAAGACAGGTGGCGTTGTGATTACAGCGCCACGGTCTCAGAACACACAGAGCCCGTAGAGCAAACGTTCTTCGTCTGCTATACGGCCTCTATGGCTGAGCCGTTGTGCCGTAGTTTTTGGGGTCCCCCAGGAGAGCGGGCGACCCTGAAAACTACGGCGGTGGGTGCGGGAAGAAACTATCCCCGCTGCTCAAATTGATACAAGTGGTCTGATCAGACCACTTGTAGTAAACGAGCGGCGGCGGCTCCACAATGTACATTCAGCTCTGCTTGTCCAGAGCCGGGCTAAATGTACATATAAACTACTCGCCCAGCGCCCGAAACTGCATGTCTCGGGC